TGCAATTTAGTAAATAAGAATCAAACACGTTTAGTACGCACACACATATTCAAATGGTTCCGTAAATTTGCTCGTGATAGGGAATGTTTTTATCATACGATCAAATCTTGTAATGTGTAAAATTATAATATTATTGTGTGTGTTATCAATGTTTCACATATTATGCAAAACAATTTATCGAACCATACGAGTCTCCCCCTCGTCCAGTCCGATCCGGTCCGTTTAACACGCGGCTATACATACTATAAAATAACTACTATATTTAGGCATAAATCCAATGCTATAAATGTCAATATTTGTATTTCAGAAAAACTACTGATTTGATTTTTCTTAGTATTTAAAAATCGTATAAAATCGTAATCTTTTCTTAATATTTATTAAAATATATCTTTATTATCGTTTAAGTGAAACAACTGTATGTAGTATACTACAACTGTATAGACAAATATAATAATTTAGTTATTTTTATATATCTATTTAATGATTAGCTAAAAATTATTAATCACATATTCAGACCTAAAACGAAACACATGTACATTATGTCGTATGTATGTATGAATAATGTGTGTGTGTGTGGTTAATGGTGATAACAATACAACGAAATAAAAGACCTGAGAACGAGTCGGAAAAATCATCGTCGTCGGACACGGGCGAGCCGGAGTCGTGGCGCTTACGCCGACGCCGTTTTCGCTGACAACAGTCACTGCACTTGCTGCACATACCGCGTGCGCGCTCCCGGTGCGATTAGGGGGTGGAAGAGGACAAAAGGTTACGGAAAAAGTGGTCGGTGACTGGCGATTGGAGGGATGGATGGTGACAGAGAGGGTGAATGGTCGTCGCGAGCGAGAGCGAAATGCGCCAACCACCCCGCCGTTGTAACGACCGCAACGCGACGGCGGACAGCGCGGTGGACGTCTGACGCCGCGACCAGGAGCGGTACAACTGAACGTGGCGCTATCGCCACCAACGACTACCCCGCCGCCACGGTGCAGGAGTCGACGACGGCGGCGACGCGAGCACGAGACCGGGTATGCGGTACACGATAAAAACAATGTTATATTATAATAATATGTTCACTACCGGGGAAGATATGATACGAAGAACAAATTCATGTAAACATTTTAAAGCCAAAGACTGCAGCACAGGCATTTCAAAGAATTCGTTTGGACGAGAATAACATAAATATCCAAACGCTGCAAGGCTAGGGATGACTGACGACACTCCGCACTCGTGTATTTCCCAAAAGCTATATTTATATTTCACTCGCTGTCATAAAATATGTTAACTTTTTAAACGGATTGTACCGATAAGTATGTTAAGTACAGGAAGTTAGGACACAAATTGTGGTGAGTTTTTTTCTCTAGCCTAGCGTTTTCCAACCTATAGGTCGCAACACTTTTTAATTGGTCAAAGCACACAAGCATTCTATTATACGATTAAAACTTAAAAATATTAAATCATATAATAATACATCGGTATTAGAACCTAACACAGTTAAGTGTTTACCAGTGCTGAATTGCTTACAAAATGTTCACATAAGTTGCCGGGAAAAAAAATATATATACCTGAATTGGTTAATTAAAATAAATTGAAATTTTCTTTCCCATTTTATACAGACTAAGGACTGTCTACATTTAGTACGTATTAACAATGTTCATAAATATGTACTTATTCAATTTTTTTTTAAATATTTATTATTATTTATATACCAGTAAATTATTGGAAATATTATTTTTTTTAAAACCCGAATCGTGATTTATGACAAATTTATAACTTATAACACTACATTTCATTTTATGCTATTACAAAAATCAAATCTAGACTGTTTAAAATTTTTATTTTCTGCAAAAATATTGGGAACCAATTCGAACGCAGCCAACAGTACAACTAGATTTTTTTATGAATCGCCTGACGGAAGAAATATCTAATAGTGGGTTGCCAAGTAATAAATGTGCGGAAACATGGCCCTAGCTAACTGTATAGGTAAAGCTAATGCTAAAATGACGGCCACCACAGCTGCGATCCCGCACTAAATAATACCATAGACGAAGGTATAGAGTATGAGTGTAATTATTATAATAATGGGTAAGTTAGATTAGGAATAATGGTAATAATTACGCATAACGAAAAATATTAGATTGATAACAAACTTCGTTCCCTTTGTCCATAGCAGAGATAACAAATACGATTAGATATTGGATAAAGAATTTAAACTCATGTCAAAGTCAAAATATTAAAAGAAAATTACGAAAGTTTATGTCAAGTTATGTTATAATAGTAAAAGAAACATTTTTATTGAAGTACCTATTTAATTTTTTTTTTAAATATCAATATTCTTCATTTCAACAAGACTCAGATTAAGGAGTTGTTTTATATTGGCCTGTAGGGCTGTAGTACTAATATTGGTTTAATAATCAATTAAGAACTTTATTCCATCAAGTTTGAATGTGTATTGAAAACAGTAATGTCTCAATAAAACAACAAATTGTTGCTCTGGTCATGAAAATCTAACAAGAATGAACATCATTATTCATTATACTTCAATAGTATCTACCTATGTTCTTATAATTGTATAGGTACAGTGTACACTGTACACCTTACAAGAAAGTTCTAATTGGTTTTATAATATATTATTTTTCCAATTAGCCTGTGTATATTTATTTTTTTGTAATAAAAAAGCTCAACCATTTGAACACAGAATAATAAATGTTGTACTTTACACTATTCATTTAGAATAGTTTTGGACGTCGATAAACAACTTTTAAATTATTTGAATAGTACAATTTTCGTTTTAAGACTTGATCATTGATATTATACAACACGGAAGTCGTAAAAAAATAATTTTTCATTTATTTTAATAATTATTAAATAATTGAAAAATATGAAAATAAAAGAGTTACCAAGTTTGTTTTTATTGATACTTCTATTAAGATATTGGGACGATTTTCATAAATCATAATATTAAAATGTGTAATTATTAATAAATTGAGCTACTATAAATAGAATAATACATTTTTCACTCTAATCATTTTTATTTCATAGGTTTTAAAATATATAAAGATTTAACTAGAAAACCTAATCAGCGTCTAAAACTGAGGTGCTCTAATCGTACACTTCCGTGGATGTTATTGTATAACCATACAGCACAACTTTTTTAGAAGACATATTATCAAAATGTATTCTTTAAATTAAATAATAAATTAACAAATTTCTTAAATATGAATTATTTTTAAAACAGAATAAATTGCTATAATTGGTACTATAAATTATATTGTAAATGAAAAATTTAATAAATAACATGAAAAAAAATCCCTCCAACCCCGTGGAAAAATTGAACCTCAAATACGTCACTGAACCTAATTAGTAACCTGTATAAATATTAGATTTCAATGATAAATATTCAGACATGTTAAAGTACACAATATTATATAATATTATTAAAAATCTGGATAGGTTTAAATAGGTAATAAAAATAAAAGTACTATTTAGCTTTATAATATAGTAGTTAGGTTAGAAATGGTATAGGTTAATTAAACTATGAAAAAGTTAAATATCATGGTGTTATATTTCAATTTTAGAAAGTTAAAATGTACAGTTTCAATTTTTTAAACTGATTAAATAGCTGACATAAAACAAAATCCTAAGATTTATAAAAATTTAATGATGTTATAAATTCCTATAAAATTCTTAATATTTTTATTTTTATTATTAAATGTGAAACTTTGAAGGACTTATAGAACACTGTAGAACTATATAATATAACATTATTTGGATTGGCTAAAAATCTAAAATTTGATTCTTAAGCGTAACGAAAATATTAGAAATATATTAAATTATCTTCAAGTCAAAGATCAGGGTTATATAACTTATATTATGTTAAATATTTATCAAACTCAAATTAAAAATATTAATATTTTTTCCCTAAATGTAAAATATAATGTTAAATATAAATCTATTTGGTATACCTAACATTAAATATCAAAAGAAAAAAAACAAGTATTATTAAATCTGAACACCTATATTATTTTAAGAAAACAGTATTTTTAAATTATGTAATTCAATTAGAACTCAAAATATTCATCAAAATAAAGCCTTTTACTTGGTAAAATTTTTAAACTTATACATTTTTTAAAGCTGTTTATGAACGTCTCAAATCAAATGCTTAAGATAATTATTTTAAAATCAGAAGAATAAAATATTTAAGACAAAATTAACTAAAAATGAGTTAATTTATATGAAAAAAATGTACTTATAAATTATTATAGAACATAAAATTATGTATAGTACAAAAAATAAATGCATTATATGATTGAAATCAAATAATAATATACTTGATTTAAAAAAATTATAAGTACAATATAATATGTTATAAAATATATAAAATACTTCGTATTTATTTAAAGCAATAACTTTTATTTACCAAATATACTTTAATTTAAAGTAACATAAGACTATTATAATATCATATTATCTTAGTATTATATTATTTTGTCATGCTTCGTATTTTGGATGAAATTACTTTAATAATCAAATAAACTAAAGAAAATGAAATAATATATATTACTTACAAATGTGAGTAATAATTGTTTGAGAAACCGTGACATATTTATTTTATTTACAATTTTTGAAAAAAAGTTACTAAGTCAATTTGTTAAGGTTGAAAATAAAACCTATGTAGTTTTTATTCTACAAATAATTGTTTTTACTAGATATTTATGAATATAATAATATGTATAACAAAATCTGATTAATATTCATATTTTTATTCGTTACAATTCGAGAATTCTATAATTATTATTTTGTCCTAACATGCATGTTATTGTTCAGTAGAAAAACTAGAGTGAAAATTATTTCGACCTAATGTAAATAATTTTCATCACAAAAATATTATTATCTAAATAAAAAAAAAAGTTCCTAACTAATGAAGTATTATTAAACGAATATAATAGTTGAATGCAATTATATATTTTTTAAGTCGACTGACCTGTGAATGAAACGCAATGCCTAAGCACGCACATCGACATGGTGGCGGGCGCAAGACTGCCGATAAACACAAGCAACTGCGGTGTGAAGGCGACGAGTCCACTAGAACGATTAGCAAAAAGCAAGTGCAACGCTTTCTGTCATACGACAAACGCGGCAATAACGTTTACGCGTCTGCCACCAGGTGTCACTACATGTTACGTTTATATTGTTTATTCGAAAAAATTCAAGATAAAATATCTTCTCACATTCTCGTTGATGGTACCTAATCATAGGCGGGCCCAGGGTGCCTGGGCTGCCCATGCAATTTTTTAAAGGTGCCGGTCAACCGAGTTTTAAGTCAGAAGAGTTACGACATTTATTATTTTTTTTTTTTAAATTGATTTTTTTGTGTGTATCGTTATAATTACCACTTACTTACAAAGATTGATTTCCTGACTTCCGAAATCGGAAAAACCTACTCTACAGACTTGAGACAGACGACGACGGTACGGTACGCATCTAGGTATTATTGATATTATATTATTGTATTATTTTTGATTTGTAGCTAGGCGGTGTAATCCAAGGCTGTAAATGAATAATATTTCGAAAGTTACCTACTGTAGATTATTATTGTAAATAGATCATTTAGACTTTTTTTAAATTATTTCATAGAGGAGGAAGGGCTTAAAAAATACGTCTTTGGGTGTATATTTGTTCACTTCACTAATAAGGTAACGCCGGTTATTAGTTAGTCTGTCCCTGCCGATGATATCTAGTCACGTCTATGTACCTAATAATTGTATTATGATTTTAATTGTTTTTTTTAGCAGAAACTTAGTAGGACCTATACCGGGACCTATACATATTTTATAAATTTTATTCTAGACAAAATGTTTCGATCTTCAATTTAGATGATGATCTGTGGTAGAAAATTGGATCTAATTGAGTCGAAATCGGAATAACGGGAATATTTACGCAACATCGTTTTAGATAAAATCGATTTTGTTGTGATTCAAAAACCAATAAGCGAAGATAAATTCAGTTAAAATATTCTCCAAGTATTAATTATAATATTAGCATTTTCTAGACATGGTATATTTTCAAATATTTTGGCTCTTTTTAACTATTTATAGACATTTGAAAAATCAACTCGAAAAACCAAAACTTGAAAATTTAACAGAAGGTACTTGGATTGGAATTAAAAAACACAATATTGAGCAATGAACATAACTCTTTACTAATTATTTTGAACATTTAAAGTTTTCACAAGTAAATTGTGTAAGAAACTTCAAACATTCATTAATACTTAAACTAATATTTTATATACTCAATGAAATTTAAAAAAAAATATATTAGGACTAATTTTAAGCCGTTTATAGGCATTTAAAATAGTGTTGTTTTGTTGAATAAATATTAATATGTATTATAATATATACCTATACCTATAATATATAATAACATATTAAGTCTCAGTCAATAGGTTTGAATGTCTATTACAATAAGATACCTTTTAGCAACATACATTGATAGATTATTCTTTTATAGACAATATTCATGTTCAAATATTGACGAATTAATAATTTTCGTTATTTTGTTGTAATTCAAAAAATATTATTCATAGGAACTTGAAACTTTTTGCCACCACGTATGATATTTTTTTCTATATATACAATAAAGTTTTCAAAATATTTAGATTAATTTTAAGCTATGTATACCACGAACCTATTTACACGTTACTGTAAAATTTACTTATACGTTAAAAATAGATGGAAATATTAGGTAAGTAGGTAAATGAAATCATATTATAATTAGAGATAGATAATTTACGTAAACAAAGTTTACCAGTAAATCGACAAAAAACTGTTATCGAAATATACATAGTACATTATAATCAAAAATAACAGTTATGTATGGTAGGTACCTAGTAGTTATTATAAAACTATTTTGGTAGGTAAATATAGCAAATGTTATCCATTTGGTGGTGACTGGTAAAAATAAGTGTCAGCCACCAAAAATGTATAGCATATATATCATAAATCAAAATCAATTACAATTAATTTAATGAGTGAAATAACAATTAGAGTGGATAAAAAAATTAACAGTTAAAAAAAGTTTCTAAAAAATGTCACCTTTAAGACATACCGCACTCACATCTCTAAATATAATACTTATTATCTAATATATAAAATTCTCGTGTCACAATGTTAGTTACCATACTCATCCGAAACGGCTTGATCGATTTTTATGAAATTTTATATGCATATTCAGTAGGTCTGAGAATCAGCTACTATCTATTTTTCATACCCCTAAGTGATAAGGGTTGTCCAGAAAAAAATAAAAATAATATTAATATTAATAATTAAATAATAACAGTGTATTATAATATATTGGTTGCTATTGGTTAATCGGGCATGTTTGTTGATTTGTATTATTATTTTTTGTCAATATATATATATATATATATATATATAAATTATAAATGAATGTTTGTGTGTAGATTAGACCTCTGGGTAAAAGATAGGTTAATTTAAAAAGGGTTAAATTTAGTTTTTTTTATTCATCGGATTTTAGTACGGTTAGGTTAGGTTAGGTTAGGATTTTGTATTAATTAATTAAATTAATCCACCGTAGGTGGAATTAAGTAAAAATGACAAACTTGGTCTAACTTTGATACTTTAGAGTTAAATCATTGACTTACGAACAAACAGCACGGGGTCCGCGATCTATAGCAGATAGATTGCCTACCTGATAACACACTGCTGCGAATTAGAATTTTTATTCCGGGCAACAGAAAAGTTAAGATAAATCTAGAACATCATACACCGAATATTAAATAACGCATTGGAGCAAAGTTTGAATCGTATACAGTTTGTACATTTAACGGGTGACGAAGTGCACGGGATAAGCTAGTTACTGTATAATAAAAACAAATATTTTTGACAAGGCTCGGTTGAACCTACCGTAATATTACTTATGAAAAAAAAATTAATTAGCAATGGCGATAATCAAATGTCCTTAGACATAATATAGACAGACAGGAAGTCTCCGCTCAGAATCGTTTTCCGTACGCAATGATTTATCATAAACCTATACTAAATGACAGGGATACACACTATAGAATCAACAAAATACTAGTATAGCAGAGTGACATATTATACATTACCGGTTTTTTGTCTTTAATACGGGGCAATATTTAGGCAATATGCAATTTCGTTGACACCGCCCATGGCATTTGTGTTAGTCGTCAATGATGATCAGTGTGAGTGTGATTGTATACAGGGCTATCTGCGCAAGCGCAACATGGGCACTTGTCAGGGGCACCGAAGACCAAAAATGAAAAACGCGATTTTTTTTTCTCAAAACTCGGTTTACAGGAAAAACTCTCACGCTGGGTAGAGTGGTCTGAATTGATTAATTAGTTTTTCTTTAGAAATATGATAATATTTTCTACAGGGTGCATTGGATTTCGATTTTAATTTAAATTAAAACAAACATAATAAAAATAACATAAGTTTATGAAAATTGGTAATAATCGAAATATTTTTGCAAATTTTTAATTTATTTATAGACATTTGAATTTTTTTATTTTTTTAATTATTTTCGATTTGTGTTTATAACTTTTTTTTTCTTTGTCAAAAAGCTTCCGTCTCTTTGCCCCTCCCCATCAACAATCCAACAATAATATATGATATAATATTATAATAATTAATAACAGTATAATAATATGCGATGTTTTTGGTAAAAATTAGTTGAACATACTATACTAACATAGTACTATATTACTATTTACAAATGAAAAAACAAATCTCTAATAAAATATTCTTAAAAATATAATCTGACAGATCGTCTCCGCTCGGAATTGTTTTTCATCATATACAATGACTATTATCATTGAATTCAAACTAGTTAACACACCCATTACAGTACACTTATTCAATAACGAGGTACACTTTACACTTACTCGTAATTTAGTGACATACTGTCATACTGACATAGGTACCTGGTTTTTACGTATACAAATATGTTATACTCAAAGTATTTATTTATTTATTTATTCGACTATAGTTATAAATTGACTATGAGTTAGTTAATCACTAGTTACTGGTTAAAGTGCATAATATTATATTAGTACTATAATAGTACATTTAAAACAAATAGTGGTTAGGAACTTCGGAACAGAATTAACCAACACGAATTTAAAAATACTAAATAGACCATATTTTAATGTTGAAATGAAATATTTGACTTAAAGTTCTTGAATTATATTATACTTACATAAGTTTTAGTTGATACTTTTTATAATAACTTGAATTAAAATGTTATAAAGTCATCTTAAAAAGTAATGACGTTTAAGTCATTTAAAATATAAATTGTATTGGATTATGATGTATATCTATACACTTCAATAATTGAATTATATTTGAATTACCATGGTAATATACATATGTTGTATTTAGTTAGTCTAACATATATTGATTTTATTTCTACTAATAGCATATTTTGTTATTTGGTTTTTACATAATTTTCAGTAATAAATATTATACTTTTTGTTTACATTTATATTATCGCTTATTTTGAAAATGACGATTTACATAGATGAAGGATTGCTTAAAATTACTCAAAAAATGTGTTTAACAGCCCTAACTATTTATGCCTACATTCAATTTTCATCAAAAATACGAACGTGTCCACAGAACAAAATTGGCTGGAAGATCTATCCATTTGATCTTCAATTTTTCCAATCGTCGGTACTTTTCTTTACTGCAGCTGCTATATCTATAGTCGAATGTGATATATGGCCAAACAATACAAAACCAAAAAATAGAATGATTCGATTTTTTGCAGAGGTACACAAATTAATATTGATTAAAAATTAATTTTATACTTATTCAATACTAGTTTAATTCTTTCAAATATGTTTATTAAAATCTAATAGTATCTACTTTTTTTTTTTTTAAATAACAACAAAAATGTAAAATACAGTATGTCTATAATATTATGTACGTACTTAAATTGTAGTTAATGTAACTTTTAACTTTGGTCTTTAATTTATATTAGATTCTGAGCGGAGCAAGGAAGCTAGTGGTTTTACGAAAGTGTTTATTTTTTTTTTTATCCTTTATACAAAATTTTTACCAGAAGGAGTGTTTCGATTTCAACATATAGTGAAACCTTATCTTTTAGCAAATTTGATAAAGATGGTACTTTAAGCAGGTCATTTTTCGATTTTATCAATAGTTATTTAATGCCACGGGAAAAACCATCGCAAATTATGCTAATAATGGGATTTTAATTTCTAACACTGTTTTTATCACCATAGAAACGAATAAAAAAAATAATTTTTTAATATTATTTCAACTTACAGGTTATAAATAAATACAGGTTATAATAAATAATAACAATATAAAAAATATCCAGACTGACAAACCGTCTCCACTCAGAATCGTTTTTCTTATACAATGATATTATATAATTGAATTCAAGTTAAATACAATCCATTATACATTGACCAACTTGTAACCTACTGTACAGCAGAGCGATTTCTACTTACCCACTTTTTTTTTATAGCTGTATATTATGACAACGATTATAATAATTGTCTATGTTCTATTTTGGCATCCAATAGTCATAACTACATCTATATTTACTGATAAATTGAGTGTTCTAGTGAGTATTCTACAATAATTAATAAATTATACACAATTCACGATAATCTTACTTTTATAGACACAAAAATGGTTGGGAAGTGCGAATATACACAAAAAAAACATTCCAATTTGCATGGACAATATTCGCAGTACGAAGTTTCATTGCAATTTATTTAGCTCATTAATATTGTATTATGTACTCGGAAAGTTTGGGAAGAAAGACTTGTAATTATTTCCTCAGTATTATTTTGAAAAATAAACAATTAATAAAAGTAACAATATTTCAGACGACGTATGCGATGTTTGTTTTGAAGTAATTAACTCGAATCTGTATGTTAATAAGCTCATAGCAATACTTGTGAACAATATCCAAAGTATAATCCTTACTAAACAAAACAACTATATCATGTATGTATATAATTAGTATTTGAAATTGATTCGGCGTATTGATAATAAAATTAATGCCATATATTGCATACATTTTCTCGAAACTCAATTACTTCAGAAAGTAGAACTTATGAAAATTCAGTATTCATACATATATTAGTACATGTATATATAAAATATATTAAAAAATAAAATAAAATGATTACTTTATATACGATTTTAAATATTTTACTATCATAAAATGTGTTTTCTAGTTTTGATCATTATTATACTTAACATATTTAATGTTCAATCATTAAACTTTATAATTTAAAAATCATTATTATTTATTGTTTAGAAAAAAAAAACATGTTGTTAATATAAGCGTGTAAAAAAGATGTAGGTATTCCAGAAGAATAAAAATAAATAAAAGAAAAATTTTAATGTTTTAAACAGCATATTTGATAATATATGAGACTGTATAATCAATTACTTATGAGAGAGGGAAAATGTAGAAGGTTATAAATTATAATCGGAACGGAATATCGTCGAAACATTTAACCTAGACGCAAAATAAAAATTCGTTTCTAAAAAGAGAAAAAGGCCAATCGAATTCAAAATAATATAACTGTCCAAAATAAAACTAGAATCTTACAAAAGTTAGTCGAATAGTTATTTTTGATTACATCTAACAATTAGGAGGTACCTATACTCCCAAGACCGGTGTTCAGTAACATGAGCACATGTATCAAATGTCATCCAAATCCTTTCCACAAATTTTTACTAGATATTTCAAAACAAACGTAAGCGGACGAATGGAAATAAGATTACTGGAAGTTAAAATATAACTTTATTATATACAAGAAACCATAGTAGGTATTCAAGGTGTTATTCATTACTACTTAATATTAACATTTTAAGTTAACAAATATATTTTAAATATTATACATTGAGGTGTACCTATACTATTCGGAAGACCATAAATATTATAACGTAATTTAAAACAGCATACTGAACTTAATTTTAAAAAATCGAAATATATTCATATTAAAACTTAACTTTATTAATTTAGCACTCATGCTTATTGTGCCACCAATGTACAGATTGTATAATTAAAAAACAAAAAAATATGTATCTCTTATATAATAAATAATACTACCTACTATATAATATGAAACGCATTGTCACTGTTATTGTGAGGAATAATTTTTTACTAGTACATTATTTATAGGAACCTAAAAGTTTTTGTATAAAATAACCAAGAACAAATACAACGTACCTACGTATTATGTTTACATAATACATATAAACTAACCTAATTAGTAGACATAAATTATATTTTCACATATGATATAACATTAAAATATAATGTAGGTACTCGAGTGATAAATTTTAGATTCACATATATATTATATATATACATTTCAATGGGGTCCAAATTACAAAGTTTTAATTTTAAACTTTACTTAACGTTATGACACTGGCATTATTTGAACTAAACTCTCGTTCAACTGTTTCCTCGTCAATTCGCTTTATAATAATTGTATACCATACATAACAACTTATAATTTCTATAATAACGTCTATTGAAATTTAAAAAATGGCTAAAGCATTGACATTTTTTAATCAGAAAACTTTCAAACGACTCTTGTTTAATATTTATTTTTATTTTTGAATTAGAATATATTATTATTTTAGTATTATTATTCAGTAAAAACTATCCCAACTCAATTATCTAGTAAATTAAAAAATGTAATAGTTTCATTATTTTTCACGTGATAGTGAAAAATAAACAAGCAATAAAGAGTAGTATTATTATGAGAAATTAATAAAACGTTTTCTGCCATAATTATACTATTGCTTAGTCAATAATAAGATTCATACTACGTAAGTAGGTAGTGTTTTCATATTCACTAATCTAAACATGTTTTCAATACAATAGCTTCTATATTTGTTATCTAAATGAGTAAAGTATACAACCCAAAACATTTTATTTCACTAAAATACAAATCATTTCGTGGACATTTTTAAACTTATTCAGTAAACTATTTTTATGAAAAAAATACATAGGCACAATCATGTACCTAAGTACGTTTATATATCCAGATAACGAATGATAAAATTTGTAAAACCTTACCTCCCTCCCTACCGGTTTTCCGTTTCTTTTTTGCCGAACCTTTACTCGGCAATGTGTTACTAGATCCCGGCCCCGTGGCCTTCTCCTTGTTCTTCCACCGGTTCAACATATCCGTCTTCTTGATCAAGTGGAAATATATCGTGACAGAGTGATAGTTTTCCTCCGGTGAAGTAAAATATAATCCAACCTATCAGCCAGTCGGCATGGCCAAACCGAATTCGGTGATGTACCAAAAGTACCTATGTAATATTATGTATTATTATAATACCATATTACTGCAGTATACGACTTTAAATCGAAAATAAAAACCTAAACCGATTTGATACTAATGCCCGAAATGGTAACTATTAAATCTAGTTGGTACCGAAATCCAACACGTTCGCCCGGCGACCGCACCGAAATGGACTTTCAGCCGCCCGCAGATGCACTTTGTGGGGTTAGGAGAGAGCAGTCGGTGCGGCGCGGCGTCGGGAACGCTCGCGCGACCGGTGGCCGTTCGGCGAAAACCGACCCTATAACACCCTCGTCAGCGGCGGTTGCTCAATCGATAGCGCTTTAAGCGTCCCTCGGTGTACACATACTGTATACATATAGATATATATACCCAAATACAGTACGGTACAACCCCTACACCGGGATCGTCGTGGTATAGGGCTCGGGGAAGCCTTCTGTATATCGTTCATGAAAGCCGGCATGAAACGTGTCTTTTTCACTTTCCCAGTCCCTACTACTACTACTACTACTACTACCACCACTACCATTGCCACTACTACACCTACACTACTCCTACTACTACTACCGATGCCACTACTGTTATTACTATATACCGTGTGCGTGTAAATATACAGGGTGGACCGACGTGTATAGTAACCGTTATTCCGTGTTGGCTATATATAAACGGAAAAACGTGAAAACGAGGTGGCTTGTATACGTACACAGTGCATTGGCTTGGTTGTTCACCCCCATAACAAACCACCCCACTACCCATTCCCGGCTGCTAGAGGTGCACACATCATTATGTGCCTATAGTCCGAAAAGATCGCTATGTGGCGTGCTCTAATGAATGGTTTATGCGAGTCGTCCGAGATCAGAGACTCGACAAGCCGGTGTACACACGCGTACGTATATTTTACACTTATATTGCGATACGACATGATATAAAGAGTTGGGGTTTAAATGCATTGGTATGTTTCTTTTTTTTTTTTTTTTTGCAGCGTTGTTTTACAAATTTGGCTAGTAATACCCGCCACCAATCGCCTGATATTGATTTATAATATTATTATCTATTTTTATCATAAGACTATTTAACACAATGTAACTTTTTATTCAATCTATTTTAAAATTATAAGATGCTTCTCTTTCAATTGATGATTATTTGAAAATACATTGTATATTATATTACATATGTGTTGCATATTTCAACAAAATGAAATATATGTATTACTATTTTACACTCCATATAAAGTCTAGCCCTAGTAATAAATATTTCAAAATCAAATATTGGAATACCATTAGAAATGAACTATTAAAAATACCACGAGTAAAACGATTATGAATCACATACAGAATTCAAATAATTTGCGTTAGGTATTATTGTTAATTTAATAATACTACGAATCAAAGGATAAATGATCGTTTCTAGAAATAACGCCCAATTATTTCTAGTAAGGTCTAAAGCTAAACCATATTTTCATTAAACCTATGTACCGTTACAATATTGTTCCACTTGACCCAGTACAGGAACTTTATGTTATTTCCTTCTAAATTCAAGTCGAATCAACTGTATTGAATACATTATACAACAAAAAGAAGAATGTCCGGGAACCGTCAATTTTAATGGATCGTTTCCGGTACACGGTAGTTCGTCATATGATTCGATATACATTATAAGAATAAGGAATCTACTATAAGAACCCGTCAAAAACACATGTTTGAGGATTTATTATAAAGTAACACTTGATCGATTTTTCCGTGGTTGCTTTCCTCTAAGCTTTCTAATTGTGATAATTTAATAATAAATTGATGCTAAATTAAGTTTATAATTACATTGTAGGTACACGAAGTTATAATTTGAGTGGATAAAATACAAATTACAAAATATATGTACGATATGACGAATCGTAAAAAAATACTTTATTTAGATTAAAATAAAAACGTATAATATTTTGTTTTCTTTAGACCATATCATCTTATATTAAGAATACATTTAAGTCAGTATAATATTATATAAACAGCATTTCAATGTGTTGCATAATTCAATTATTTTCAACTACCTACATAATATTATTGGTCATAAATCATAATAATATAATATAAAATATTATAATTTTTTTTTAAATTCAACTCTTCTCAATTGAAACTCAATTCAAACTATAAATTCAACAGTTTATAGAAGTATAGAACAGACTATTTTTCAATCAGATCGATTGAAAACAGAATTACCATTTTAAAAAATAAAACAAAACACTATTGCTGCATTAAGTAAAATTATACCCATACAATCTTGGTTGTTTGGGATAACAATTGTAGGTAAACGTTTTATCTTATATTACATTTTTTGCCTTTTTGTTTTATACAAAATTCATATTATATATATTGGTACACCAAATACCATCATAACGTTATCCTTTATAAACTAAAATAAAACAAACGTAGTCCATTTAGGCGAATCAACCTGCTTAAATCCATACCATTTGAACGAATTTTATATACTTACAATATACTTATATAAGTATTGTTTAGAGTGTTTAGACAAACTTTTACGAAAGGCGGTGTATATACCATATACTGTATATATACGAGAGCAGTATTATACCGTTTGAACTATACAAACATTTTCTTCACATTATAATAGACTTATACGAGTTACGACTATCAGTTATGGTATACTAAAAAGTTAATTTTTTTCGCTTAAGGTTGTGGATAATGACAGAATATTTTGCAATATCATAAATGTTATATCATCATAATTTAAATTTAAATAAAATAAAACACAGTACCTACCTACCTATATAAATAACTTGTCGACCACAGTTAACCTTTAGTGACCCGTGAGGGGTAATTATTTAGCCCAGTATAGTTTTAATAATATCATATTATTACATAAATTATTTTTATGAATTTTCCATACTACATTGAGTTACTACCTAATGCCTTATTTTAGTAATTATCGTACTATCACATAAATGTCAAAACATATTTTTTAAATATTTTTTTGTATAACGTCGTAAAAAAACTAAAAATTAGTTAATTTGAATGTAAAAATTAATATACTTCGATATAGAGGGAAAAAAGATAGAGATAAAAAAAAAAGATTTAAAAATATTTGAACGAAAAAAATTACGTCGCGTGAGCAACTATGTGGTCTTATATCTACACTACACGCGTCACTAAAGATTATATTATATTGTTATACAGCAGTTGTAGCCTGTAATTATAGGTATTAAATACGAGAAAGCACAAAATAATAGTGTAATTTCGATAAGTAACATTAAGTTTGTTTTACTCGCCCAAATGATATATCAAATTCCAGGTAAAAAAAGGTTAGGATTTGTACAAACAATCAGCGTGGTAGCACTAATAAAACATGCATTAAATAATTAAAATAGCTAACACGCTATTTAAAATAAAATAAATATATGACGTATAGTGTGGTTCTTTGAACCATGTTGTCATAATAATAATAATAATATACCTACTTAATATCACAATATTGTTGAAATGTGCGAAAAATGTTGTCAACTTTTCATTTTGCTTTAAATTTCGTATTGTATACCACATATTGGCTATTATTGTGTGCGAAACGACTGCGGCGTTTTAGTTACTATTAAGTATGAGTCATATATACGATACCACAATGGCTATTATTCGACCGCTATAATGTTTACACAAACTAAAACTCTACGACTAAATACCCTTCCATATATGAGTATGATATTTATATAGTAAAGTATAGTCATTGTTTAAAGCCACTGGATCGTAATGATTGTAAACTTATTAAATTGGCAAACTTAACACTTAACTGTACGGTAATATTGTCAATTGATAGACAATATCAATAATTAATGTGGTCAGTACATGGCAATATATGGGCCAATTCTCAAGGAGGGATCTATATAATTTACATGATAGATAATGTATTATATCATCTCCATTTTAGAACTAAAAAAAACATAAAGTTACTAAGGGGAGTGTAAAGACAATAATTTATCAAACTAAATTCTGAAACTGGTTTCGTCAAAACTACGGCACAATACGGCACCTTAATATTGCATGGAATGTAAATTTTAGATGCACGCACACGGCACACACGAGTCCGTCTGCAAAGTCCACGGTCGAAGAAGTTGAACAACTTTCTCCCTCCTAAACACGTCACTAGTCCATGTAGCCATAATACTTGTACATTGTAATTTAAACACAATAAACACAATTTGTATACTTTATAGTTTGCACTCAATCGCCAAACATTTTAATTTCAAATATTTTGAAAATTCAAAGTATAGGTTACCTACCTCATAATATTTATTATAACTCAACAGTCAACGACTAAATACCTTAACGTCTACGATTAGTAACCATCTGTAAATAAACTACTTGAACTAAAACATGTCTGAATGTGATGATGTTTGTAAATATACGTTTAAAAGTCTCGTTTCACCGAAATGTCGTCGTACAACACAGGCATCGCAAGAAAAGAGCGACACGATGGTCGATGAACGAGGACATAATCACCGACGACTGCGATCATCTACGATATTATTATTACGAAAGCTGATAATAATTGATGATAAAAAATTTCGTCGGTGAATTGCCCTCGCACTACGCACAATTTACGGACTCGTGAAATTTATTGACGTGAAGTCGATTTTATCCAGAACCGTTGAAAATCGGACGGGCCTGCAGTGACAAGGAGAAAACGATATTTACGGCCATCAGTCTTCTTTCAATACTGACAACTGGAAAATATCACGAGAATAAAGCCGGGTTTTCACTGCACCATACATAGTACATACATAGCTGGTTAAAAAATGTTGGTAACACAAGTTATACCTGCGAGTTGAGTATATTCCACAATACAGTATAGGTACACGGCACAGCTGAGTACCGATAACCCGGCTTAACGTTAACTATAGGTATATGCCTCAACTGTGGTCGGTGATAAAAATATGGTAACCGTTTTATACAAATTAATGATCTAGCCGGTCGGTTTCACTGTTCCGACAAGACGCGATCGCCGCCGACGGTTTTATCGAAGTGGCCATGCCATATCATATTATGATTCTCGATAAAACTGTTTTTGCGTCGTCGACGACGATTGTGTGTTACTTGTAATACTCGTAATACAGTTAGTTGAAATTGCATCAGAAAAAGTCATGTAAGTATGTTTGAGAACCTCATAAATTCCGGTCCGATGAAACGCGTCGCCCGTTTTCCGAGGATTACAATATTATCCATTATGGGATTAATCGAGGGCGCGGCGACACGTCAAGTTGAAACGCACGCATCACGTCACCCATATTATTCACATGTTGCTTCTAGGGATAAACAGTTATTCAAATA